CGTGACCGCCCGGCGACTCGGCCGTGCGGTGGTGGGGGTCGCGCGCCGGAAATCGGCCCGAAATGTGCAAATCCTTGCGACCACTGCTGGGCTGCGTTCAGGAATTACGCCTAGATAACTCTAAGGTGCATTTTTGCTATAATATACGTAACGTAACTTTTAGCTTAGAATTATCTGGGTGTAATTCCTGAACGCAGCCTTGTATATGTATAGTATATATGTGGACTTAAGACTGCGTATTTATATAGTTATACTATATAATTGCTATACACTCTCTCAAAAAAAAGACTTTATTAATGAAGTAAATAAACAAATAAAATGCTATAAGCTAATAATGTTGGTATCATATAGTGATAATTGAATCGAACAAATAACAATGGAGATATCTAAAAATAACGCACAATCAAATTTTACAAAATATAAATAGAATGATTTAAGAAAAGAACAATATTTAGGGAAAGTGTATTTTTCAGGCCTTTTATCGAAAAATTTATATACGAAAAATGCAATGTTAACATCAAGAGCAAAAGTTTCAAAAAGATTGCCGCATAATATCAAACATATTATTTTGCCAAAAGTTCTTAATTACGATATTGCTATCTTAGTATACATTTCAAAGATGAAATGTTGTGAAATTGATATTCAAGATACATCTGTCAGATCGCTGATGAAACAGTAAAGAAATTCAGTCCGCTAACAACGAGTAGCGACTATTTGAATGTGCATACTGCGCTCAGACATGATTTTAACAGCATGATTTTAAAGATATTTATTATTGGAGCAATCAGATGAGTACTACTGGCCTTTATATGTATCTTTATTTTGGTAGCCTTGGACGTATCCGGATGTGTCTGCTACATCCTTTCGACCTGCTATGCCTTTACCTTTTCCCGTCTCATCGAAACGTTGTTTGTGAGAGCCGGTATATTTGGTGACATCGGTAAGTCTATCAACTGTTGACGCTGCTTTTCCAGCCTGTAAATAAAAATGAGCAAATCAGAGATTATGTGCGCAAATTGCATGAAAAAGCACTGTTGATTCGTATGTACATCGTGATGAATCACACGATGAGATACCTATACATTGTATGATAACATAAATCGCGATCAAGTCAACGATTAAAAGAAAGATGAATTTGTACAAATAAGGAAAAACTAATTGTAGTAAAGGTATATGTAGCTAAATTTATTACATTTTGAGATGCTAGAAAGAGAAAGAGAGAATATAAAATTAAATAAATAAATTTAGTATAATATACGTACTCCACTAGCGCCCCCAGTAAACCCAGGTGGTCCACAATTAGCCATCTTCTTCTTTATTTCCGCTAATTCCACTTTCTTACTTTTAGTCAATTCTTCAAGAAACGTTTTGTACTGCTCGATACCGAGCTTTGTGGATCTGCAATAAAAAGGAAAAAAAATGTAAGAATAAATTTCCCAGGCAGTTTATCAAGAAAATAAGTTTATCAAGATAACAGATATGAAGAACATTTTTTTAAAAGATATACTTGTGCTTTTTGAAGTAAATTCCCGTGTCGGTGGTAGTAATTTTCTTTCCATCGATCACTTTCGCTTGTTTCATCCATTTGTCACTTTGACTCAACGTAATCAATTTACCGTCGCTCTTTGGATCACCGAATTTCGAGAACGCTTTGAAGCTCGCTAAAAAGCTACCTGGTTCAGTGCTACCAGGGCTACTCGGTGTCGAACTCGTTGAACCATCTTCTATCTTCAAATTTGTTACCTCATTCGCAACCGAAGTCGTTACATCGTTGAGGGTCTCGTTTTTCTCAGTGTCAGTATCACTCTTCTCCGCTTGCATCGTAATCACTGAAACGAAAATTTATAGTATATAGGTATCTACTTAATCAAGTGCGTCAGTTGTTCAATTCAAGAGCAGTATTTATATTTCTATTTATACATATTATTTATGATAGTCAAAGTTGAAAAAAGTTAATTAAAATTGAAATTATTTTATTACTCACGACCTTTCACAATTTAAATGACATAGTTATTCTCTTGGAAAAATTTAAGGCTATCTACTTTTTCTAAGGCAATCATAAGAGATACATATTATTATTTGTCTCGTCTATCGCTAGATAATATCGATGCATAGAAAGTCCAACTGTTGCGTTCCCATTCATTATACACAAGTTCTTTCTCCGGCTTACCACCAATACGATATATTGCTGAATGACATGTATCGAAATCGAATACCTCGAGTCACGATATTCATTTCTTCGAACGGTAGTCTTTATTAGTAATATATGATAAAGTCGTTGCAAAAACTGTCATGATAAGATTTAATCACGCATTTTCAATTAAATTTTGTTTACTCAATCAATAGCATCAGCTATCAGTGGTTACCTTTACCTGCGACTATAATCATCCGCAATTAAAAGTTTCACTTATATCATCACGAGTCGATAATAAAAGAAAAGGAGACTAGCATCTTATTATACATTTTTAAATATATACGTAATAGCAAAAATGGTAACTCGATACGTTGTATTTACGAATTATATTTATGACGTATTCTTAAATGCGTAATAAATATAATGCGTAAATGCAACGTATCGAGTTATCACTTTTGCTATTATATATAATACAAGTTATTAGATTTCTCTCTCTCTCTCTCTCTCTCTCTCTCTCTCTCTCTCTCTCTCTCTCTCTCTCTAACATTACGATTTTACATATAATTAGCATTAAAAATGGAAATAATGATTACTAGATCTTAGCACATGCAACATTTTCACTTATTATTGTCGGAAAAGAGATTTGTGCACTACAAATTACGAACGCACAATCGAGGCATATCGTGATAAATATTTAATATTTGATTCAACAATTAAGTTGATTTTTAAAGTATTCGCGTTGATACAACATTCAATAATAATTTTATAATATTTATGTTTTCACAGACATTGTATGTATATTAATTCCGTAAGTATTTACGCAATTTATCGAAATATTTGTGCAGTAATAATTGCGATTGTATAAATGTGTCTAGATAGACGAAGAAGTGACAAACACAGATAAAATGAAAAAAGTGAAAGATGTGCGCGTGAATGTATGTCGAAATAACAGAGCGTGGCGTGCGCGAGAAATACTAGAGGCATAATGTTATTTCACGGTTATAAATAGAGATTACGAATGTCGCGCGTTAACGTAATTAGCGTGATCGGTGCCGGTCAGTGTATAATGTGCCGATCGACGAGTAATAGTATATAGCATTAATTGCGATCACAGGTGTCAAATTCTGAGAGGCGTCTATATGAATCGTCCCCTACTAGCGATTATTATATTACTTTCCGTTAGAATTACTTTAATTGCAATTATTCCTAGCTAGCTATGTACGTTGTCTCTAAACAGGCCAGTCGAAAAAAATCGACTCACCGGATCTGTTATCGGGGAGAAACAACGATGTCTCAACGATGACGTCCCGTCAAGTTTAGCGTTTCTAGGTCAGTGTGCGCGTAGGTATTAATTCCGTCGCGCGGCGCGGGCGGGACGATGCGATGCGAGATGTTTCGATAGCACTGATAGATGAAGCTTACGCGTTTCGCGCAGTTTCATCGACCGCGACGGTATGACTTGGTCCGCGTCGCAAGCGTCACAACCGTCACAAAGCACCTATGACCGCACCTCGCGAAAAACGCACAACTCCAAGGCAGACGTTTGCAACACAGATTGCGTAGAGAACTCGTGCGCGTCGCGACGTGGTCAGGCGCGCATGTATTCTATCGATCTTCTCGTCCCAGGAAGCACGCAGTCACCCTTGCCTCCCGCATCTTCGAAATTGCGTTTCATCGTCAGATGGATTACGCTCATGTATGGGCTACGCTGCCTCCTGCCGAAATAGAGAAATTATGAAAATCGCGCCCCGCCTCGTCTGTCATTCATCACGCTTGATCACGCACAGAAAAACGTACGAACATAAATTTAATTTCGTACGTTTTTCATGACTCAACTATTTTGCTCCTATTGCGCAATGTTGAAAATATCACTGAATCATTAATGAAGACATGTGAGATAATCTGGAGTGTTTTTAAATGCCTCGGGGTGCGATGTATGCGTATCCCGTCGATTGGGATGATGCACGATTTTGTCATTCATATAAAGTCATTCCTTCATTTATATTATACGTATAAAGTCGGTGACAATTATGTGACCGATATATGATCGTCTTGATTATTTTATGTCACGGCTTTGTTCAATTAGCCTGATCTACAAAGAATTTTCGACTTTTTTCACGAGAAATCTTCGTGAATATTGCTTCAGCGTAAACGCAGTGTCACGTTCGATAGTAGTCTGCAAGTTTGTCTTTACATTTGCAATCCACCATTCTAACATCCGTCTGTCTTTATCTTCCGCTAGGAGTACACACGACATTCGCAATTAGCTATTTATATATTTGCTGTTACAAAATAGCAGAATTTATTCATACTTGTATTGTCACGCAGGGAGTTGCATATATATCATAACTTGGAAATGTGTTATAAAAATTTCACAATTAAAACGAGATTGCAATTAAAACAATCAAAGAAGTTGCGCAAATGGGGATGTAGCGAAGCGGATTGATGGGAATTTATTCTATTGTATTTTGGGTAAAGTTGTCCACGTTCGATATCATAGTTATCCTCACTTGTTTAATTATTCTCAAATCTTACCTGACAATAAAATCTCCTTATCGATAAAACGTTTATTAAACTTTTATCCGTTTGTACAAGTCTCACTCATTTCCGTGAATCCGGCTAGAACGGAGTTGAGAGCAAGACAGACCAAGACTAAACCGACACAAACCTGCTATCGCTAATAATACCCCCACCTTCACAAATATACATATCTTCCAAGGCGCAATTTTTTAATTTATAATCGTGTGGTGCAAAGAGTAACCCAAAATTGTTACCCCATTTTTCAAGATCTTAATTCTCTTTAATTCTCTTAAAGACTAAAAAACGAGATTCCTTTTTTGTTTCCTTACATATCAATATAATTTTTATGCCTATGAAATTAAAGGGAATAAAAATGTTAGAAGTACCTGTTGCGCGTCTACTTAAAATTAAAATGTATTTAGTAAAAAACGAACTAACGTCTCTGTTTCTCTCACTCACTCATTCACTCACTCACTCGCTCACTCACTCACTCACTCACTCACTCACTCACTCACTCACTCACTCACTCACTCACTCTTTCGAATGCGTATGAACTTAAATATAGAATCTCGAGATATTACTCAGTTATTTCATTGGTAGAATAGAACTTAAGCCTACCTAATGCTAAATTATTACATATAGAGCTACATTCCAAAACGTTTTCTCCAAGAAAAATTTTGCTCAATATATGTACAGGGTGTCCAAAAATTTGCGATTTAAAGTACTGTAGCAAGATATTATAGTTCTCGAAAAATTAAGTAGACAAGTTATTTGTAAAGTTTTATTTTAAACAGTAATTATTTAGATAATATAAGTTTAAATATAGCCAATTATAGACTATGTTTTTATGTATTTGGATGGCTATACATATCAATGTCAATGAGTCGATCGCGCATACGATATAGTACCTATATTAGTAAGCGCTGATGAACACGTACTTCAGCGCGTTCACTAATATCCACAGGTGACCACCTAAACTAAACATATAATAATACAAATTTACGAATAACTTTTTTTAATTAACTTTTCGAAAACTTTCTTGTGGTATTTTGAGTCGCAAATATTAGGACTAAAAAGATTAGACTATTACGTATACTACCATTGGAATAGAGCAAATCCACTAGTAAGTATACGAATCTCATTGCGTATAAATCTATAATCTATCGACTATATGTTCGACACCGTTAATGACATTAATTAACCAACCATCACACCGGTATAGATTGATGATCTTCCATGACTTCCATCAAGATTAGTAGTACGAATTCCAATTTCAATTTCCAATCTTAATAATCTTCCGTCTCTCTTTTAGAATACTGGAGATATTACAGCCAAGTTAAGATATATACGTAAGTTAAAGTACGTAGCGTGAATAATCACTCGTTAAAAAAAGATTATATCATCATATACATATATATATATATATATATATA